TTACAAAATTTTCTATAATTTAACTTTATTACTAATTAAATAACAAAAATCTAAGATTTAAAACACTTAGGACCTAGTCCTGAAGCTTCATAAGAGTCTAAGAGCTAGAAAATTAGTAAATTTGAGATTAAAAATACTTAGAACTAACTCTGAAACATCACCTAAATCTGAAAGCTATAAAACTATTAATTAACTATTATTTTATTAATTAAAATTAATAATTACAGAATCTAAGATTTAAAACACTTAGAACCTAGCCCTGGAACATCGCCCAGGCCTGAGAGCTAAAAATATATAAATCTAATATTTAAAACACTTAGGACCTAGCCCCGGAGCATTACCTAAACCTGAAAACTAAAAACTATAAATTACTCATTATATCTATTAATAAAATTAATAACTACAAAATCTAAGATTTAAAACACTTAAGACCTAGCCCCAGAGCATCGCCCGGGTCTGAGAGCTAAAAAACTATAAATTAAACTAATATTAAATAATAAAGACTTTAAAATCCAAAAAACTACTAAGTCTGAAATCAAAAATACTTAGGACCTAGCCCTGGAGCATTGCCTGGGCCTGAGAGCTAGAAAATTAGTAAATTTGAGATTAAAAACATTAGGACTAGCCCCGGAGCATCGCCCGGGCCTGAGAGCTAGTCATTAAACTATTTTTAGAGTCTGTATTGCTTGAAATTAAATTACTTGAAATTATAGAATTTGTAGTAGTTGTAGTAGTTGTAATATTTGAAATAAACTCAGTAACCCATTTATAGGAATCTTTTTGGCTTAGATTTAACATAAATATTTTTGATGAATAACTATTATTTGAAAATGGACCTGTTGAACAAATAAAGATTTGGCGTGTTTAAATAAAAATAAAAGTGTAAATAGCGCAAAATACTGTTCTTGATGGATCGTCGGTGCCGTCCTGATGGGATAGAACAAAACTTGATTTTCATACCTTTCCCAAATAGCGATAGGATTCTTAAAAGAACTCCAAAGCCGATTTTTCATAGCAATGCTTGGTCGTAATGTAAATGCTAAAGTTATGACCCATGTTTGATCTATAATATTGATCTCAACATTAACCTAAACATACAATAAGGGTATTCCAATTTGAATTTTGTATGTTACATATTGACCTTACAAACGATTGGGCAGTAACAATAGGGCAGCCAAATTTTACGCTGTAACTTTACTAATTCGATAGTAGCGTAATTTTTTAAAACTATCAGGAACGGTACGCAACCTGACTTTTTCTATCCCATCAGGAACAGTACCGACAATCCATCAAGAACAGTATTTTGGATAAAATAATTAAAATTTTACCAAAAGCAACAAACATATAATTATCCCTAATGTTGCAGTATGTCCACTAAGACTTAAATTTGCAATTGGGTTTAAAATGTTTCCAACCGACCATTGATACGTTATAATATCTAAGATCTACAGATCACCATACGTATAGTATTGCTGACCACCAAATATTACGATACGCCCGTCAGGAGCTTTCAATTAAATGATTAATAAAAGAAACTTAGTACTTAAAACAATTATTTATATTAAATATATACTTAATACTGCTGAGAATAAACTGCGGGAAGGAGGAGTTGGGCCAGATGTATTCTAATAAGATATAAGATTGACTATTAGTTATGTACGATATAAAAAGTTTGAATTTATTTGTTACGTACCATAATTGTCCACTTATTAGTTTTTGTATTACGTTAATAAATAGAGTTTAAAAGACCAATTTATTAAAAGACAATACTTACATTGTTCATTGGCATGAATAATGAAAAATCAGTAAGATTGGTTCCACCAAGATATAAAATATTATCATCAGGCAAAGTTATTGCGCAATAATATATTCGAGATGAAGGAGCATTTATTGCACTGCTTAAATTCCATGTCAATGTTAGCGTATTGAATATCCAAAGTTCATTAGTGCTAGCAATAGGTGTATAATTATAACCACTAAAAATAGCAATCAGTCCATTATTAAATTTAGCACATGAAATTTGATCTCTATCTGTGGGTACACTTCCAGAAGATGTGATATTAATCCACTGCTGTTTATTTGTATCAAATTGATTAACGAATGATTGATTATTATTAGGTTTATTACCAAAAATAAAAATCATATCGTTATTTTTTCCACCAATACATGCTGTAACATATGCTTTTTGAGGACCGCCGGTATAAGTAAGGTCAACCCATGGTATTAAGACATCTTCGGTTGTTTTAAATGGTTTAGAAACATCCAAATAAAAGAATTCATTCGTGGTATTACTTTGATTATTAATTTTTCCACCACTAAAATAGAGTTTGTTATCAATAAGGACTGATGAATGAAGCCATCTTGCATTTGGAATAAAAGCAGCAAAAGTAAAAGGAAAATTTAAGAGAAAGGCGAAAATATAAAATCTAAAATACAACATGAATAAAATACGTAGCATCGAATCAAATAGTTAAATATAATAATAATCTCAGTATACGTATAACGATATCGATATATGTAGTTATTTATATATTTATAATACTTGTAACGCATATTTCCAATAAACGTTGTTGCGTAATTGTTTAACAATATTACATGTAAACAAATCATCAATTTATTCATTTCTTATTAAATAAGTTAAATTTACTTTCATAATTTTCTAACACCAATATCGAATATAAATTATATTATTTATTCGAGCCATAAATTAATAACAATAAATTGTGCAAATAATTTTAATATTTGATATATGAGAATGCATCAAATTTCATGGGACTGTTTAAATTTTTCATTTATACGCAATTTCATCCTTTTTGATTCAAGGGAAATATTCTTTTCGATTCATAAAAAAGGTCCCCCTTTTTGTTAGGTTAAATAAGATGGGATAGTATCAAAAAGTGTGCTTTTTATGAATCAAAAAGAATAGACCTTGTGAATCAAAAGGACAACGTACGTAAATAAGTGCATTTAACACGCACTGAGACTTGCATATTTTAATGGTTTAGAATTTCTTCTTGATTAGATAGCATTTCTAACTGTAACGAGTAATCATAAAGATAATAGATATCGATTTTTTTTATTATAAAAGAGTACAAATATTGATATCGACATTTGATACGTATGCAGAGGAAATCAACCACGCACGTATATATGTACATTGTGAAACATACATTAACACGTAGGTATAATTAGTTACGTTTTTGTTTAATTTACTATCTTTTATAACTGTTAACTTTCCAATTTTATAATTTTAAAATATTACTGAAATTAAGAAATCGTATGAAAATATTATCTATTTATTATTATCGTTAAATTCTGTAAAAATGAGTGGGCCTTCGAGAAGTGGTATAGGTACGCACACAATTAGATTACGTAAATTTATGTAATGATATATTTAAGGAATGCGATTGAGGTGTCGTCATCATGTTCATTCATCCATATAAAAGTACTAAGATCAAGGAGGTGAACAAAGATCGCTTCTAAACGTATTGCCAGTTTATTAATATTTTCAACCGATTTTTAGCTTATCAATCTATAATGGAGGAAAAATTTGATGGCAATGGGATTAAAAGACGTTCAAATGATGGACTTAACAAATTTCATTCTAGTGATCAAATGCTAAAAGATGTTGAAAGTGCTAGTGTGATTTCTCCTTTCGTATTTTTTACGGCCTTTACTGTAGCTATCTGTGGATTTATGTTTGGGTAATTTGATAGATGTATATTATATAGACATATATTTATATAGATGTATATTTATATTGATATATATCTTTTAATTTCAATCCAATTTTCTCATTACCTTATAGATATGATACTGGAATCATTAGTAGCGCCATGTTGCTCTTAGAGAAAGATTTTCCTATGACTTCTGTTACTAAAGGACTTATTGTTGGAGGTTTGAAAAGAGAAATAACATTTTTAATATAATTTTTATTTATTTTTCACCTTTACCTGAAATTTTTTTTTAGCCACAACATTTGGTGCAATTTTTAGTAGCATTTTTGCTGGCATGTAGTTTAAATTTTTCTTTTTTTATTCATGTTAATTATTAAATTAATCTTTGATATTATTTAATTAATAGGTGCTCTATCTGACTTTGCCGGAAGACGCATAACAACAATGGTTGCTGCAATCTTGTTTATTGGTGGTGCATTAGTATTAACATTAGCACCCTCATATTCATCTTTATTGATAGGAAGGTTAATAGTTGGTTTTGCTGTTGGTTTAGCATCAATGGTAGTTCCGATTTATATAAGTGAAATTTCTCCAAGATTTCATCGAGGTCGGTTAGTTACGATAAACGTTTTGATGTGTACTGGTGGACAATTAATTTCCTATTTGATTGCTACTGCATTTATATTTCAGCATGGTTGGCGATGGATGTTTGGTGTCTCAATAGTTCCTCCATTTTTGCAACTTTTATGTAAGCAGAAAATTTAATGTTATATCTGATGTTATATTTGATGTTATATTTGATGTTATATCTGATTTTATATTTGATATAGTTATGCCAATTATTCCTGAAAGTCCAAGATTCCTTGTGCGAAAGGGTAGAACTGATGAAGCTAAAAAAATTTTAGCAAAAATTTATCCTAGCGCTTCTAGAGAATTTTTGAACGATGGTAAATTATCCTTTTTTGTTTTTTTCAATGTACTATCATCTACAAATGGCAAATAACTATTATTATTTATTTCCAGAAATTGATGTAATCTATGAGACAATTGCTCAAGATGCTGCAGGATCTTATAAACAATTATTTTTTTACCCGAATTTAAGACCGCTTATTATTGCATGTGGGCTTCAGCTATTCCAACAGCTTTCAGGTTTCGATACTGCTATGTATTATGGTGCAAGTATTATTGAAATAATAAGCTTAATATTTAGTGATTTTAAGATTCTCTTTATTTACTTGGAATATTTTTATATAGGCCACTATAATGAAAATGGCTGGATTTACCAATATCAAAGATGCCATAGTATTTTCTATTCTTGTATCTGCAACTAATTTTGGCATGACAGGTACGTCAGATAATTAGTTTCTTAGTAAATTTATATGTTGTATATGTTATATATTTCGTTAATTGTATATAAATTAGTATATTGTATATTTCAAATATAGTTGTTGCTCTATATTTAATTGATCGTATTGGTAGACGTCGTATACTTTTGGTCACTTTGTTTGGAACCGTAATTGGTTTAGCTCTTCTTGGTATAGGTTTTATTTTCGTAACTGGTTTAGTGCCAAAACAAGATTCTTGTGCTGGTTATGGAACAAATTGTGGTGCTTGTTTGATTGATGATAGATGTGGATTTAGTAAATTAAAAGATGGTTGTGTGGACAGAACTTTGTTTTCAGATGATCAATTATACGATTCTTGTCCTTCATCTAGTATTGGAGGAAATTGGTTTACATTGTCATCATTGGTTGTTTTTGTAGCAGGTATATTATTTATCATTATTTTTCACGTAGTGAATATATTAATAATAATTCTTCGGTTTTTTTTCAGCATATGCCTTAGGAATTGGGCATGCTCCATGGACAATACAAAGCGAAATATTTCCTTTAAATGTACGAGGTCGAGCCAATGGAATTGCTACAGGTAAAAATATGATCAAAAAATTTTTTCTTCTTTGATACGTTAAACAGATAGTTTATAAAATTTATAGTTATTAATGTTTTTACAATTCTATATTTAAATGTGTAGCAACGAACTGGTGTGTAAATTTAGTGGTTGCGGTCACATTCTTACCATTAACGGAATTAATAACAATATCAGGTAGGTAATCTTGACAAATTACTCTAGTTATTTCCCATATATGCATCATAAACTAACATTTATTTTCAACAAAAAAAAAGGGGCTTTTTGGATGTATGGTATATTTATGATTATTGGTTGGTTATTTGTTTATTTCATGGTTCCCGAAACAGCGGGAAAATCACTTGAAGAAATTCAAGAATTATTTTTATAAGTTAATGTTTTTTAAAAAAAATTTTTTTGTTGTTGTTTAGTAACTTAATAATTAGCTAAATATGAATTAACGTGTAATCAATTTACTGAATTATTAATGATTATTTTCTAATAGCATTCATAAACTTATTAGAAGTAGAGTCTGACATTACAGTACATAAAAGCAATTGTTTTTAAACTTAAAAATAATACGTAGCAATAAATAAAAACAAATTTAACAAAATCGATTTCATAAATATTTATTTTATTTATGCAGATATTGAAAAATAGGAAATACAATCTTTTAGCATTTAAAAGAAATAAGGAAAATCATAAACTAATACTAGAAAAGACTCTCAAGAATATTACACGCATAATATCTTTAAATGTTAAAAAAAAAAAAAATTTTATTATTATTACTATTATAATTTTTTTTTTTTTTTTTTTTTTTGAAAAAAAACTTGAAAAAATAACACATTATACAACCATAAAAAAAAATATGCCCCATAAATATGCTCAACCATAAAATGTAAGTTTTTTTTTTTTTAATACCAAAAATTTTAAAATTTACAAAGTTCAAAACACAACCAAATTAATCCATTGAATATACATTGTAATGTTTTTGCAATAATAATAAATAATTAAATAAAGTATAAAAAAAAAGAAAAGAAATGTGAATGCAGTGAAGTTTTTTCTATGCTGTAATTTTTTTCTTCTTTTTACTTTCTTCAACAGCAGCTCTAAGTGCTACTATAACCTTTGACATTAATACTACTTTTCTAACTTTTTTAACATTACGAGATATATTTGCTTCAAAAATATGTCGTTCATGACGATTTCTTAATTTCTTCTTTCGTGAAGGTGTTGGCCAAAGTCTGGCAGTAAGTTCAAATGACCAATATCTAAATACCATAACTTTAACAAAATCTAACACCAAAAAGTAGAAAAGTGAAAATCCAATGATACCAACACCCCAACCCCAGCCAATTGCTGATCCTGGTGTGAGAACACCATAAATAGAAACAAACATGGCGAAAATTTGTGTTCCCATAACAGCAATAAAGAAAGTTGGTGAAGGAAGGTTTTCCCAGAAAAATCCAGAAAGACGTGTAGAAAAGATTACGAAATGTGGACAAGATGAAATGTGAAGATATATTATAGATTGCATTCTTTGATCTTCACCATCAACATCAGTTGGAATTCCGAATACATATTTTGCTAAGTAAAAGTGACCAAAAGAGGCAGCTGTCAAACAGACAGCTAAAATTATTGATAAGCTGATCAATTGACCAAGACGCCATTTATCCGGTCTTTCAGAAATCTTTGCATTATCAACAGCAATAACAAGAGTGGCAGCATCGTTTAATATAGTAATTAAAATCAAAAGAATGGTTTTCATTTCCCAATTTTCAGCAATAATAATACAGAAGAAGAACATCAAAAAGTGTACGGTGGAAGTGATACGATAAAGGGAGTAAGATCTCATACGTTGGAAAATAGCACGTGAAGTAGTGATACCATCGACAATAGTAGAAAGACCAGGTGCTAATAATACAATATCAGCAGCAGAACGGGCAGCATCTGTACATCCATGAACAGCGATACCAACATTGGCTTTCTTTAAAGCAGGTGCATCGTTGACACCATCACCAGTCATACCAACGAGAAGACCAGTTTTTTGTAATAGTTCAACAACACGATATTTATGTTCTGGAATAACTTGAGCAAAACCATCAGCACGTTCACAATGTTTAGTAACTTCTTCTTCACTTTTAGTAGGATCAACCAAATGATTAGCGTCAAGAATTACACGATCCATTCCAAGTCTATGAGCTACTTCTTTTGCAATGATCAATTGATCACCGGTAATCATTTTAACATCGACACCATAACCATTACAACGTCGAATAGTTTCAGCAGAGTCAGGACGAGGAGGATCGAGAAGAGAAATCATACCGACTAATTCATAATCATCAGTACCATTAACAGTACGAGCAACACCAAGAGCACGAAGACCACGAGTAGCTAAAGCATTAACAGCTCGAACGGCATCATCATTTCCACCAACTAATTTAACAATGACTTGAGGAGCACCTTTAGCCACTTTAAATACTTCATTAGTATCAAGTGTAACTACAGTAGCGCAAGTCATTTTTGTGGTAGGATTGAATGGAACAAAAGCAGTAACTTTATATCCAGGAACATCATGTTTATTTTGACGATTTTTAAGAATTTCAAGTCCATCTTCAGCAGCAGTACGAACGGCACTTTCAATTGGATCATTAGCACCAGGTTCAGCAGAAAGATAAGAATAAAGTAGAATATCTTCTTTTGAATAACCAGGACATAAATAAGGTTCATCGAAGGTAAGTTCATTAAGAGTTAAAGTACCAGTCTTATCAGAGCAAAGGACGGAAACAGAGGCCATTTCTTCAACGGCAGTAAGACGTTTAACAATAACTTTTTTAGCAGCAAGTTGTTTAGCACCGACAGCCATAGTAACAGATAATACAGTAGGAAGACCAACAGGAATAGCAGCGATAGTAAGTACCAAAGAGTGACCAAGAACCACAAAGAAATTGCCTTGTGGAGTTCCACGAAAATGAAGCATTTGATAGATAAAGATGATTACGACCAAAACGACAGTAATCAAAATTAAAAAGTTTCCGATAGCATTAACAATTTTTTGGAAATGTCCTTGTTCAACAGTGATAGAAATCAAATTTGCAGCACGACCGACAAAAGTATCACCACCAGTTTTTGTTACAACAGCCAACATTTGACCTTGTTTTACTATTGAAGAAGAATAAACGGTAGCACCTTTTCCTTTGTCCACAGGTAAAGATTCACCAGTTAAAGCCGATTGATCGATAGAAAGATGAGCATCAGTTTCATTACCAGTCACATCAAGACCGAGTAAACGAGCATCAGCAGGAACAATGTCACCAAGACGAAGACCAATGACGTCACCAGGGACTAATTCAGCAGTATCAACTTCAACAAATTGACCATCACGCCAAGCTTTTGCTTTTAAAGCGAGAGTTTGTTTTAAAGCATCCAAAGCATTTTCGGCACGAGCCTCTTCAATGAAACCGATGAAAGCATTAATGAAAAGTAGACCCACAATAATACCAAAGTCAACCTAATAAGAATAAATAATGAAGAAAATAATCAATATTAAAATTATGTAATTTAATATATAATATAATATATAATATATAATATATAATATATAATATTAACATTAATATAATTATTTATTATTATTATTATTATTATTATTATTATTAATGAAAAAAAACAATAAATTAAAAATTAGATAAATTGATAAATCATATCTCCGACAAAATCGGACAAAATAGGTAACACAAGTGAATTACCTAATTTGTGATGTATCGGTGAAATGAGAAACCAAATTAATACAGAGAAAGGTGTACTTACCCAATCTTGAACGACAGCAGCAAATATACCAGCAAGTTCAATTAAATAAGCAATAGCACCAGTAAAATAAGACAAGAATTTTAAGAGAGCATTTGTTTTAACTTCAGCAAGTTCATTACGACCAAATTGAACTAAACGTTTTTGAACTTCATCAGTGGATAAACCCTTTCTAGGATCAGTTTGAATCAACTCTTCTAATTCTGGTGAAAGAGCTTCAACATTTTCAACATGCTTCGTTTCTATTATTTCAACTTTTTCGTTGTTCACCTCGTTGTTCACCACTCTACTAGCACTACCTTCCTCCGTAATATCAATTTTTTCTTCAGTAATTTCAGACATTAGGTACGTAAAAATAAATCTTTTTGTTTTTTTTTTACAATCTATTATAGAATAAAAATTAAAAAATTTACACTAAAAATCTGGGAAATTAAGTTCTAAGAATATAATTAAATAAAAAGAAGAAAAAAAAAAAAAATAACTAAAGGGGAATTGTAAAATTAATTACGACACTGAACAAAACCCCTTTGATCAGATAGATACGAAAGAGAGACCCTTCAAGGTAAATGAAACCAAAGAGGGGAAAATAACCACTTTTTTTTACGAGTGCATTAGTATCGGATATTTTTTTTTTTTTTTGCCCTCAGAAGTCAAAGCTAATCGCATTTATATATAAATGCAACGGTAATAATGATAACACAGAACACACGTTTACAGGAGATAAGGAAACTAAAATGTTTTTGGTACGCTATCGTTACACTTGATAATCTGGTAACCGCTAAAATATCGATTTAAACCATAGAAATAATTTCATCAATTATATTATGTGTAAACTAATAATATTATGTGTAAAACAAAATAAATTATCTCCGATAAATTAATATATTTTTAGTACACTTTATATGTAAAACCTGACCGTGCAACTTTAATTCTTTACTTTTGATCATAATATATAAAGTCACGTGCGCAGTGACTTGCATATGTATTATTCATTTTATGCAATAAAAAAAGGCTATGTTTGTCAATAACGATAATGGTCTAATTGACGTGTGAAGTACATAAGTAAGTACGTCTTGTTACTGTCACCTGCCACACAATCCATTTAACCCTTTAAATGTTTGCCGATTTTGATTTCGTAGGTTTGGGTTAAATTGGTTAGGAGGAGTTTCAAAAGGTTTAGTTATTAATTGGCCCGAATTTAATTTATCCTGTATGCCAAGCTTTTTTTAGATCAACAAATAACACTATGCTTTATAAATCACATTCGCATTTTTTGATCATATTGATAATGCAGATTTTTTTTTTTTTTATCTGCATTATCAATGAGCTTATTTAGCATTGCATTAAATATATTTTTTATAAATTTAGGAAATAAAAATTTTTTATATTGTTATTTCTTGTTGATAAACTCGCTTTATTAAGTAAGTCAAGAAAGGATATTTCAAGAAATTTATTTTGATAACAATCTATTACTTATTTCTATATTATTTGAATAATGAAGATTTAGTAATTTTGTTAACGCAAAGGAAAACCCTAATATTCTCTAAATAAAAAAATTATTTAATTAGTAAACAAAAAATGAAT